CTCCATCCCTCCCCTAAACCAATCTGTTGCCACCGACAAGCGCAACAAAACAACGCTCCTGTTGTTCAAAGGTCAAGGCAGGAGACTGAAAAAACTTCACATTGAAAGGTCATGGCCATAAATACAAAGGGTTAGGTGGCCCAGATGAAAGTCATTAATAGTATAATAATGCATACACAACATATAGAGATGAAAGTCATTAATAGTATAATAATGCACACACAACATATAGGTTAAGTACGACTTTATCCGCACTTTCTGTACTTAAGCTGTCTAGCATAAACACAAGAACAAAATTGACCACAAAATGTGAAAATAATCTTAGAATATACAACCCACAACAAACAACAGCCCATTTCAGAAAATGTCGTTGAAGGTAATGACCATAATGATCGTAATTGGGAGCATTGGTCATTCCTCTCATGACTCAGTGTCCCTGCTCCTGCAAGCTAACGTTCACCATAACGTCTAATCCACACGGCATCTGTTGGTTTATGGGTGTGGACGTCCTAGCTTTCTATTGCCAGTAGGTCACCCATCAAATCTGTATGTCAACTCGGACGAGTTAAACATAGCTTACGTATGAAGAGTTTGGCGGCATTTGCAACACAGTTAGATCAAGTAATTGACGAAGATTAGAAAAGTTACTAGAAAGTAACACGCAAACCAAAAAAGGAAGACAGATGAGAACGTTTGCTAGAAAATTAGGAGCAAACCGCACCAGATCATCCGCCAACCACCCACTCTATGGGTGAGAGTCACCATGGATGCATACTACTTTGCAGGAGGGTCAACCGTCAACATAGCTCAACGTAAGCATGCACGGACGAGATAACAATATTCAACAATCATTGCGTATTCCTTAGACTAGTAAGTGAGGACAGCGTAGTAAAACAAATATCTGTGTTATAAGAACAGTGCCGCATTTGTGACACCTGAATAGACACCACAAATAAGGGTCTTGAACATCTAGCTCTCACTGGCTCAATTGAAGACAAACGAGGCAGGGGTAGGCCCAGAGAAACCTACTTAAATAACCTAAACATTAAAATGGGGAACAGGAAAAGATCAGGGAAACGTAGCTTTTGTAAGAGCATCCGAGCGAAGGAATGAATGGAGAACCATGATCGCCGACGTCTGTCGCAGGTCTGGCACTGGATGATCATGATGAACAAACAATGAAACCCCCACCACCATAACAACTACCAACAATAACAATGACGACACAACAATTCAATAACAACACAGACTTCCCTCCAATCACCACGACCACAACGACACCCATCCATCCCAAAGACCACTGTCAACAACAATAAAACAATAACGACAATAAAATAACAATAACGACAATAACAACGATATTAACAACAACAACCACTTCAACAACAAAAACAGGAACAACAATCACTTCAACAACAACAACAATAATAATAATAATAACAACGTCACCACTACCACCACTATCAACAACAACAACAACAACAACAACAATCACTTCAACAACAACAACAATAACAGCAACAATAACGAAAACGTCACCACCACCAGCACCACTAACAACAACAATAACAACAACAACAACAACAAAAATAATAATAAAAATAATAATAATAATGATAACAACGTCACCACCACCAATAACAACAACAACAACCACTCTACACCATAGAATGATGACTCACCATGTTGCCCCACGACATCCACAGACAGACACATCAACAAGATATAGAGGAGAGCAAACAGCTGTACTTCCAAGCGGGACGCCATGTTCTGGGGACGACACGAAACAACAACATTATTACCATCATCATCATTTGTAGTAGTAGTAGTAGTAGTAGTAGTAGTAGTAGTAGTAGTAGTAGTAGTAGTAGTAGTAGTAGTAGTAGTAGTAGTAGTAGTAGTAGTAGTAT